TACAATGCCATAGTTTGGAACTCAGTGACTGCAACATCACAAGAGGTGGGACAGCAGAATGGCTGTTGGGTGGAGGAGCTAATGGAAGCCACTCATTTTGTGGATGATCCTGGGTGAATCTTTGTGCCGTGCTGAACTCATTCGGATGCTCGGAGCCCATTTCCTGCTGAGGCCTGTGGTGAAATGTCATGCTGAATGGATGCACTTAGTGCAATAAGTGGCCAGCAAGTCACTACAGTCACCATAGCCATCGAGGACACAGGTCTCCCCAGTCACCTCCCTCTCTCTGCAATTTGGCCACATGCTAAGCCTTCGTCCATGAAGTATGCACTCGCCTGTCTGCAGACTTCCCAGCCTTCACCCCGTTGCTCACATCTTCTGTACCAGATCCTCTCAGTCTGAATTCTGCCATTTTTTCCAGGCTTAATGCTTTCTCTTTCTTACAACTCTGCAGGAAAGGATTCAAGTTAGATTCACTTAGGTTTTCTAACCCTGGAATATAGCCAATGCTGAACACACTGGATACCTGCATGAGTACATAAACTTATGACTAAGTTTACCAAAAGGTACCAGAGGGACCCAGATGGCAAAACAGGTGAGGGAAGATTGCAGGTTTTGAGGCCCCTAAGTCTAATTTCATGGTGTCAGTGGGTCCAAATGAAAGGCTAGGGCCTTGGCTTTCTCAGTACATACTTCATGGATCAGAGCTTAGGATGTGGCCAAACTGCAGTGAAGTGAGACAAGGAAGGGCAACCATTTTTGAACAGTGTGATATCTCAGGAGAGCCATAAAGTGCTTTTCTGTGTACCAGCCCATTGGTGACAGCCTCTGGAAAGCTAATGCATTCTTTACCTTGCACATTCCCAAACAAAAGAGGTGAGATGAACCCCTCTGGAGCCTGGGCTTTACTTCTGGGTTCTGAGCTAGAGATTTTAGAGAAAGCCTTGTAGACGTGGTAAAAGTTCCTGCTGACCTACAGCCTAATGCTCCAAGGTCCTTGGGTCTATCCAAGCCAGCATCCCCAAAATGGTACCTTCATATAAACTGGATAGAAAACAAGCATTTTGTTCCCTGAGCCAGGGTGCACAGGGCACAGGCAGGGTGCAGCCATGAAGTCAGCCCCTACTTCTTCGGTCACCTGAAGTCCCTGGCATGGAGCATGTGTGCGTGCGCACACACACACACTCACACATGCACACTGTTATGAAAAGACTGTAACTGGGGTGCTCTTTTGGGGATTTAACATAGGTTTTATAATAAAGTATGCAAGAAAATGGGACTAAGCACAGTTTCTCAGTTCAATCTTTTTTAAACAGGGCCAGATGAAGGATATGGGATCAATGTGTCTGTCCCCAAAGGCCAGAACAATTAAGCAAACTATGGGATTGAAGATGTCCTATCTTCCTTCAAATCCAAACCTCACAGAGAGGAGGAAAGACTTATGATCTGACACCATATCTTGCTCATTACAAAGGAAAAAGACCACACATATCTGAAGGTGATTAATTGTCTTTATTGGAGGAAAACAAGAATTCATCAATCTCATCATGGTAGAAACTTTGATATGTGTACATGATTGTCAAGGCAGAGAATCATTTGCTACATAGACCCATGAACAATTTTGTAGTGCTGCAAACCTATGGGGTTTAAACTTCTTGCAGAGTTTATTACATGCATGGAATAAATGCAAAGTTTCTCTTCTTTTGGACAAGCATGTTTTTATGGAAAAGTAGAACCAATTGCAAGCCTGGTAATAGTAGAATGAGGGCATTCCTGGATTTGACATTGTAAGCTCTTAGAAACATGCTTACAGTGGGTGAGTGTCGAAAGAAGGGCAAGAAGACTATGTATAGCTGCAAAAGTCAATTTGGAAGATATTCCAATGTTGATTCTGGGCAGAATGTACTTTTGATGTCTTTTCACCTGAGTGTGGGACTAAGGTAAATGTTCTCTGAAACATACCGCCCTGTACTTCAAGATGAAGACACTGCTACAATGTTGAAGCTTGTCTGTGGACATTTGCACAGTGTTGTATGTCACTCCCAAACAGCCTGGTGCCTCAGAAAGAGAGCAGCAGGCTTCAGTGCTGCAGAAGAAACACCAGACCTGGTCTCCTTCCTTGTCACAGCCTGGCTGCCAGCCCTGCCCCAGGGTCCTGCCTCCCAAAACAGCGGGTGTGTCGGGAGCCAGGAATCCTAGTCTGTCCAAAATAAGATTTTCCCTTGAGAAGCAATTTAACTTGTATTTGGGGCTTTTGCATCCCTAGTGCTATCTCTACAATGAAAGCCTCAAAACTTTCTCTCCTTTTCTTTTTTCCTGTTGATAAGAAAATAAAATCACCTGTAAGTAAAATAGTACAGCAAATCATCAGATGACAGTGACCACATGAAGAGTTCCCCAAAGACAAAAAGGTTAAAAACAGGTGAATGCAGAAGCAGCCTCAGTACAAAGGGCGAATGCCACAGTTTGTCCCTTTGGTGTAGAAAGATATGGACACCGAAAAGCCATTCCAGTTTGCTTTGTCCACAAAACCAGACTCGGCAGCCACATGCTAGGTAGTCAGCTTCCAAATGCACAGCCATTAGGTTCGCAGAAGCGGAGCCCCCACAGCCACAAGCTTAGCTGCTCCCACTGGAGGTGGCAGGGAAATCTGGAAAGGGGGAATTCCTTCTGGAAGATTCAGGAGGTATCGGCGCTTCTGGAGAAGGAGGCAGGTCAGGCTGTAGCCAGCATGCAAGGTGGACTTCGCAGCAGGGCTGGCTCCTGTGCACATGCCCGGAGCTGCAGACTGGGATGCACTGGGACTGCTGAGAAGGGACCTGGAGGGGGCGTGGGCATTCATCTTTCTCCTCCTCTTCCTTACATATATATTCCTGCCACCCAAGAGTTGAGGTTTTCAAGCTAATTCATCCATACAGAAATGTCCTTAGAGCTTTCAGGAAGTGAATCCCTCCTTTACAAAACTGTTTTCCCAGTTCAGCTTTTTGTCTTGACATTTTCAGTTCTGAAAATCAAAGGATGGGAACACCTTTGACAAGGGTCAAGGGTGCTTGCAGCCCCAACACAGGGCCCGGTACCCCACAGAAAAGTGGTGGATTACATATACATCTGTACATATTTTTCTTCTTTTGGAAACAAAATGAACAGTGCTTGGTCTGGAATGTGTTTTAGGACAAGGCAAATCCTGTGGAGTGAGAGGCAGACAGCAGGACATGCGAAGGGCTCATGTGCTGGCCGAAGGGGAAGGCTTTTGTTTCACTTGCCAGCAGGACACCAGGAGACCATCTCTCTGACTTCTGTCATGGAACATGGAGGAGCTGCCCTGTGTCAGCCCTTGCCTTCCTTCCTTGTTGTCAAAGGAGCCCCACCAGCAGCTGTGTGGGAATCACACAAAGGACAGAGAGCCATAGGCTAAAGCAGGCCCCAGCCTGGGCCCCCGTCCTTGGCTCTGCCTCAGAGGCTCCACTGTGGCTCTCCCAGGAGGTCACTTCTGATCCAGGATTTGAGCAGGGCCAAGGGTGTCCAGAGCTCTAAAACACCTCCAGCTCCTTTTCTTTCTCTTTAAAAATGTTTAGACAATGTGAGCGCCACTGGGTCAATCAAGCTAAGTGTCATTCCACCAGGGATGAATCCTGTTTCACAAGGGGACGTCCTTCCTCTCCTCTTTTTCACAAGGCTTCCTCCTTCTTCCTTGGCCTTGGCTCTCAAGGGGAGTTCCCTCCACAACTGACAATTTATCCAGGCTATACAGGACCTGTGTGTGTGTGTGTGTGTGTGTGTGTGTGCGCACGCATGTGTGCAAATGCACAGTATGAGGTTAATGCTGGGTAGGTAAACTGAGTCTAGGACTGAATTCCTTTTATCACATAGCTAATGTTTTCTAAAAGCCAAAGTTTTGTCTGTTTAGCCACAGTGTCTTCAGAAAGAAGCCAGAGGCCCGACTGCCCAGGACCCTGAACACTATGTTAAGAGCAAGTTAGATGGGGGACCCTCTCAAGCTCATAAGCTCCTGTGTCCTAGGGGCTGGTTCCTCTTCTCCAGATGAAAATTTTAGAAGCAACAGGATCAAGGTCAAAAACCCTAAGCCACACCCACCTTTTTTTTTTCTTTCTTTTTTTGCATCCTAGCTACACACTTCTTTATTTCAAGAGATGAAGAAGAGGTGGATCATCTTCTCTATTCTCCAACGGGGCCAGGCACTGTGGGAAGTGGTGGACCGCTCTTTCCTCTGGGGTTTTGTGCCTATCACCTAACCACACCCTGTGCTTTTTAGCTCTAGCCTTCTTTGCCCCACTCCAACCCGAGGCCAGTGGCTTCTGGTAAGCAGGGCTGTGGGGAGGAGGGAAGAGCCCAGCTGCAGGGTCCCCTGGGTAGGAGTGACAGGGGCCTGAGTGTGGTGCCACCCACTACTGTTTCAGATGCATACTAGCTGCTCTTCTGCCTAATTCAGGAACTAAAGATCAGGGAGCAAGGGAGGAACAGACAGGCAGCCAAGGGAAAGCCCATTCTATCATCCACAAGAGGAAGAAACCCCCACTTACTCTGAGAAGATGAAGAGAGGAGGAGGGGTAAGGAAAGATGCCTGAGAGGGTGCTGTACAATGGGGGCATGGAGGAGATGCTTGATCAATACTGGTGGAATCTGGCATCAGCCCAGTGGCCCAGAACTCACCCCCCCCCCCATTGATCAGGTCTTAAGGAAAGGCCCATTCTGCGTTCTTGTCCCATTTTGTAGCAAGACATAAATAATAGCAAGTGCTGTGAGAAAGGAGCCTTTTCTTTCATCCTGAAGGCTAGCAGGCATGGTGGGCACCTCCCCCAGGGAGCACTCTTCCTTGCTCTACACTGTTTAGGCACAAGACACTTGCAAGTGCAATGCATATAACTCACGCTCCATGTCAGCTCCAGACACTGTTTCCATTGCCAGTAAGAGAATTTGGCTTAAACACTGTTTTCTAACCGCAAAAGGCTACATAGGCCATGCAGTGCAAAGATCTGATAATAACTCATATTCACCCCAGAAGTATCATATTCAGGCAAACCATCACCCCTGTAGCCTTCTATTTATTTATTATTTTTTATACTGTATAAATGTGAATGTTCCCATGGCACTAGTTGGTAAGCAACATACTCATGAGCATAGATGGACGCCTTGGTTTTCTCAAATATGCGTTTAATACTAATGTCACTGTCTACCTTAAGGGAAGAAAGAGGTTGATGTATCTCCAATGTAGGTGACACTTGTTTCTTCACTGGGCCTATTGTCATTTTGTAGGCCTTTTCCAGGCTTTTTGCAGATATGAAAGAGTGATAGCTTAAATTCTCTGATACTTGTGTGACAGAAGCCCAGCAGGATTCTGCCTATGAGGCAGGTGGGGACAGGTGGCAGATGCGTGTATTCCCCGCTATTCTTACACCTCCTATGCTGGTGTCCTTAGTTATGAGGGATGGGGCTGTGAGCTCGGTAACATTCTGTGTGTGCGCGCTGTGCCTGTGTGTGTGTGTGTGCATCATGGAGGGTCAGGGGAACATCACTAAACACAGGCAAAGCACAGAAGTGACAAGGCCTTGCCCAAGAGGACTGTCCACACCTGCGCATCTGCAGGACAGAGGCATGGGTGCAGCAGCCAGGTCAGTCACTGGACCAGCAGGGACCTCAGGAGCACAGTGGGGTAAGAGCTGTGTGTGGCTGGGCCCAAGCATGCCCAGTGGGTGTGCGGAGCACTGGGATCCACCACCCGACTCTACGGGACAGCCGCCCCAGGGTTAGCCCAGGGTTGTGTGCTGCGCTCACTCTGTCCTGCACACCCAACCTCCATGTGGTTTTCATGTGGCCTGGTTTTCCTGAGACAGCCCCAATTTTAGTACTAGAAGCTGTCCTACATCCTGGAAAATCCTCAGTGCTGAGCAGCCTGGGGTCTTTGGTGATCCTGTCACCACAGGCTTTTGCTTTGGATGCCCGTGACAGTGGCTTTGCACACAGCAGGGCCTGTCTGAGGCCATTTCTGCAGTGGCCAGTGTTCTGCTCCCTTGGTGATCACCTCTTCTTATCACTCAGAAAAAGGGTTTCTTCTTCAAGGCTGGGTAAAAATGTACAGAAGCAATATGTGTGTGTGTGTGTGTGTGTGTGTGTGTGTGTGTGTTGGAGGCCATTTTAGATATAAGATTAGAAATGTATTTTTTAAAAAAAAGCAGAAAGAGATTCATTTTAAAACTGCATAGCTGAGATCAGAGTTTCATCCATTACCCCTCATGAGAAATGAGGGCTGCATGCAGGGTCATAACGCAGACGGCAGCTTGTCCCTTTGAATCCTGGCTTTGTGGCTATTGCTTTCACAGAGTATGGTTCGCTGTGAAGTTCAGCCGTGGGTCTTGGGGAAGCAGGATTCTTCCTTTTGCCATGGTTGACATGTGGCTTGCTGAAGCAGCCAGGGAAAGGGTTTTCTGCATACCCCCCCACCCTGAGCTGGAGAGAACACAGCCGCTGGGGCCACCATGATGCCTTCCTTCAGAGCTGACCCTCCCCAGAAGGCGAGAGAAGGGGCAGGAACAGAAGTAAAGTTCACTCTTGGTCTGGGAGACAGATTCTTGATCTTCTTATTAGAATTTTTAAAAATACCTTTAAATTCTCCTTCGAGGAAAAAAAATCTCTTAAATGTTAACATAAAAATACTATTGAAGCACAAATGATATAGGTCATATAACTGAGATACAGATCAAAAAGACATACTTCTTCAAAGGAAAAAACCACTAATGCACAATATTTACCAAAATTTAAATAATCCAGTTCAAACCTTTTTTTTTTGTCATGAAAAAAATACACCCTAGATAGCTGTCTACGCTGAGAAGAGTGGAAATGACAGAACGATGGGGGCAAGAAGGTCCATTCAGTCAGAGCTTTGTACGATTCATATTTACAGCACCAGATCCTATTAATTCAGCTCCCCTTGAGTTCATACAGTTTGTGAGAAATGAACACTTCAAAACTGTAGTATAAAATATGGCCATAAAAAACTTGTCTTCCAGTCCTATGCAGAAAGGTGCACCATGCAGGCAGGGGTGGGGTCTCACTGGAGGCACCAGCGTGGTGACTCTGGGGCTCCCCTTCCCTGGACCTGCCCCCTGGGTCCCACCTCCACAGCTGGTCACTTGCTTCCAGTGTGCACTGTCGTCACAGTAGTGGGCCTAGGTCTCCGCTCGGCTCCAACTCCCGAGACCCCCGAGGAAGAGGAAATGAAGCTACAGAGCGTGGAAGGTGCCAGGCCTGCAGGAGGAGGGGATACACAGGTTCAGAGCACCAGAAGATCCATGCTCTCCCTCCCTACTGTAGGGGCTAAATGGGCGGGGCTTATGGGGGAGCAAGCTTTTATGTATTTCAATTTATTTGTTTTGGCAGAGCTTGAAATCCAACCCCGAGGCCTTGTGCACACCAGTCTCACACTCTAGCTGAGCAACACCTTTGACCCCAGACTGCATTTGTATTCCCCACTGGAAAATCTTTGCATTGTGTTTCAGATGCTTTGTTCTTAGAACCAACTCATCTCTTTTCTTTGGTATAGATACTCTGGAAATATGTTTCAGCCTATGTAATACAGAAGGCCCTTTTATTGAGCACTTACTATGCCCTAGGTACTAGGTTAGGCATAGTGTAGTACTATTGTCATTATGAGAACTGTTCACTTATGCAAAAGCTCCATGAAAGAAGTATTTTCAGAATGAGTGGTGTGTAATCTGTACTCCTGGCAAGAAGCATTTTTTGATAGAGGGCACCTTGAAATGAGGTCATTCACCTGTTCCTGCATGAACTCAGTAGTCCTTCAACCTACAAGAATTCCTCCTGAGCTGGACTAATGCCTCATCAAGCAGAGAAGTCACCTGAGAAGGCCACAATGGAGACACAGTAGCAGCCATTCAGCTCTGATGGCATGTGTACATCCCTAGAGAGCTCTGTACACTGGGATGGGGTGGGGGGGGACCCATCTAATCAATTACTAGGATGGGCTTCACAGGTATATGACTAAAAAAATTCAATGAAGTACTGGCACGGTAGCACATGCTTCTAACCCTAGCCCTCTGGGAGGCTGTGGTAGGAGGATCATAAGTTCAAGCCCTGCTTAGGCAACTTATCAATTTAGTGAAAGGCTCTCTCTCTCTCTCTCTCTCTCTCTCTCTCTCTCTATATATATATATATATATATATATATATATATATATATATATATGCCATTGCTAAATTGAAGTGATATTACTGAGGGAATATGAATAGCCAATGATTGTACTAAAACGTGCAGGGTGGTCACAAGCATGAAATGGGATAGTGCACCGGAAGAGTCTGGCACACAGTAGGTGCTCTGCCCAGGAGAGAGAACTCCCTCCTCTCGGCCCAGCGTGACCCCAGAGGCCCACCCAGTGATTCAGGTTGTGCTACATACGCACAGTCTTTTTGGCTGGCCAGACTGAGGCTGCTTGAGACACCTGCACCGGAGCTGTCCAGGCTGCTGCCGAGATGTAGCCTTCTCATATGCCTCACCACGGCTGTGGCATTAAAGGCTTGCTGAAATTGCAGAACGAAAGAAAGATTAACCAGACAAAGTATCCAGCGACTTAGAAAAGACTCTGATGGCTTCTTTTAATTTCTCTGTTTACCCTGAGCCTGGTACATGTCTTCATTCTCAGAATACTTTAGGAAAACAACCTACACTGCTCCTTCTTCCAAAGAGGTGTGAATTTGTTTTAGCCCACTCCCTATCGAAATGCATTTTGGAGATTTAAAAAGTTTTCTTCTGATACCATAAAAATACAGAAGCAATTTGAAACATCTCCATAATTTAAGAGAACTTTTGAATAAAAGATATTATAATAGTTGAATGTGGCAGATTGGGTTTTTAAAATAGTATTTACATTCTTATAAATGGTACTTTGTCCTAAGTCATGCATTCCTGATGAATAAAGTAGGTCAGGGGAATTAATTTTGTTTCTGTACAGCCTCTCACTGCTGGCTTTCGTGGCCAGACAGCTAGCTCTCCATTATCCACACAGATGAGAATGTAGAGTTTAGGCATCTGTAGATGGACACAGAGGTGTTGCATTTAAATCTATCAAATTTTTACCAGAAAATATTGATGAACACAAACTTTCTGTTTTCTCTCTCCTTTCCATTATTACTTTAATTAATATTATTACTTTATTAATATTATAATAGTTGAATGTGGCAGATTGGGTTTTTAAAATAGTATAAAAGCTTACTGGGCCAGTGAGATAACTCAGCAGACTAAGTGCCTGCTTTGGCATGTGCAGGGACCAGGGTTCAATCCCTGGCACAGCATGCTGCACCAGCACCACCCTTGCTGAGCTGGCCACCAAGAATGGGCATGGCGGTGCATGCCTATAATGCCAGCATCATCGGGGAGGCTGAAAACAGGAAGATCACTATGCGTCTCAGTTGCATAGTGAGACCTTGTACCAAATACATAAAAAAAAAAGCTTAGTATTCAGAGTTTTAATGAAGTACAGAGTAGCTGAAAGAGTATATAGTGATTAACAGGTAGTGAAGGAGTTAAGAGCCCGCCTGACACTGCCTCTGAGTTACAGAAGGGACATCTTTAGTCACACACTTCATCCCTCTTACACCATGGTATGCCTTCCATGACTTAATCACTATCAATTAAAATGAGTGACATTAGTGAGGATCTAGGGGTTTCTATCCACTCTCAGAGGACAGTAACCTTTAGAAATAGATACGCTCATAGAACAGGGCAAATTTCAGGAGAGTGGGTACCATCACCAGAAAACTAGTCAGCGCATGACTTACTCTCCACTTGCTCTTTGCGAAGTTCTTCCGGATCTGGGCGCTAACAGACTCATGAATGTTTTTGTTGAGGGCAGTGTCACCAGCAATCCTGAAACAAAAGCAAAGAGCCATCTTTGGTGCCTGCCAGTGATCCCTGAGCTGTTTCCAGGGAAGACCTTCTTGTTCTCAGGGAGGCTGAGGCCAGTGAAGGGGAGACAGACTTGTCCCTAAATCCACACGTGCCACCCTCACCTCATAGTCCCACTCCAGGTCTGCACTCTGCACCCACCCCTTGCCCTGCCCCGCCCTCCCAGTGTACCTCACAGTCTGCCTTATTTTTCTTTTCTGGTGAGGCACCACCACACTACCACAACCTGCAATGAGAAGGCGGCCTGGGCTGTCTCTTTCCTGCCCCTCCCCAAGTCCCTCTGTTCAGCACTAACTAGTCTGAGGCCCCAGTGCTCTCCCTCAGCTCTCCTACCTCCTCCGCTGCTCACGCCTGCTGCTGGTTTCCTTGTACCCAGGCCTCCTGCTCTTGGCCCTCCCCAGGAGCTCTGCTCCAGGGTCTCACAGCTCCCTCTGCTCATCCCACCTGAGCTGGGCTCTGCAGTGACATTCCACACAACAGTGCCATAAGTCCTGTGCCCACACCTTCTCTGTGGCCTCTGAGAGGACTTACAGCCTCAGCTCAGCCCTGCTGCCTGCATCTTCTACCTCTGCATTTCCAAGAAAGTTCGCAGAACTTCTGCAGTCAGGATCTACTCTGTTGAGCTGGTCCTTGATGGTCCTGAGCTCTGTCTTTCTCTGGTACAGGGTCTCGCTATGTGGCTTGGACCCATAATGATCCTCCTCTCTCAGCCTCCTCTGCTCTGGGATTACAGGTGTGCACCACCACTCCCAGTTCTGGGGCTAGCAAGGCATGCCCAGGGTTCAGGAGCCAGCACGGCGTGTGATACTGGGGATTGAACTCAGGACCTTGGACTTGCCAAGATGCTTAGACAGCCAAGCTATCTCTCCAGCCCCACATCCCTGTTGTAGCTTTTGCTTGTTCTTGAGCAGGGAAGAACTCAGGTGTGCTCACCACTTCCTCTCCCAAGACCCTGCACCCTATTCCACCTCCCTCTGCTGTCTCCTTCCTTTGATCTTGGCCCATCCTGTTCTTTCTCTGCTTATACTCTCACCTTAGGAATCATTGAAAGTCACGTGTGGTCTACGCTTCTCTCCCACAGAGAGAAGTGGTTGGATTCAGTGTCCTCCTTCCCTGAATCCAACCACTTGGCCTGCCCTGTCAGAAGAAGCCATGCTCTGCTCTCAGTCTATCCTGGCCTTTTCTCCGTTTTCCATTCCCACTTCACACAATGCTAGGTAGGTATCTGGGGCCAAAATCACAGACCACACTACCTGGCTGGAAAGTACTTGTAGAGGAAAGAATCTGTTACCTCTTACACCACGACTGGCCTGGAAGTTGCTAATCTAGATGTCACAGACTGTGGCTTTCAGTTGCTTTGGGCAATGGAAGGAAATAAACTCAGGCATCATTCAAACAAGAAATCATGACCTTTCTTTCACTTGAGAATTACAACCATGGTTGAGGGACCAGATGCTGAGTCTGTGCCAGACTGGTCTATGTTTAGAGTCTATAATTCTAAACATAGAATCGATACTACCAGCAACCACCCTCCCCCACACTCCAGTGTACTCCCTCTTTCCAGCAGGTAACCAAAATGAACCAGTTTCCAGTTCTAACAATTGCCAACTGTCTCCTCTCCCCAGACACACATCAGGGAAATGAGGAGATTCAGGCAACTGTAGACATCTTTATCCAGCTTTTTCTCCTAGAGAGCCCAGGGGAGTGCTTCCTTCTGTATGGTTTTTAAAAGCTGCATCGTCAGGGAAGGATGCCAGTTCCCATGTGTCAGCAGCCAGCTCTTTCTTGGAAACAACTGGGCCACGCAGTAGGAAGCATGGAATTCCTATGGCTGAGCATGGCTGCATCCCAGCTCCAAACTGAACAGGCCAGGGAGGGGGTTCAGTGATTCTAGGACACGTGTTCTACCTGCCTGTCAGCAGCATGGTCTCCGGCACCTTGAACCCGGGCCTGGTGCCTGGACTCCGTTTCCCATGCCTTGGCTATGGGTAATGGTGGGCTGAGATGTAAGGAAAATGCAACCCTGAGCTATGTGAGGAATGTTTCTGGCTCCTTTTAAATAGCCGTGGGCTGGCTGCAGCTGAGTCAGTCATGCTGGGCAGCAGGTGGCCTTGGGTTTCCTGTCAGGTAGTCTTAAGAGTGGCTGAGGGCTGAGGGCTACAGCCACCTTGGGCCATAGTGACAGGACACAGTCCTCCTCCAGTGGGCAGCCATGATCACAACAGCAGTTCTTGCATTGGACAGGCCAGGAGGTTTCCACCAATAGTGGGGCTGGTACTAAGTGGAGCAGTATTCAGCAGCAAAATTGGAGCTGTGGGGCCTCAATACAGAAGGCATTTTGTCATCCAAACTCCCAGGAGTTGACCAATATCATGGACACAGAAAACTTTCTTTATGAATCATTAAACAGATTCAGAAATCTACAGATAAATACACCTCCTACATCACCCTGCCTCTCTGGGTTAAGCCCTTACTTTCTGTGTAGATGGAATTTACATAATCACACCTTTTGCAGCCCGTCTGGCTGTTTCTCTATTCACTGATCATCAAAGATCTCTCTCCTTGCTTTAGGTTGTTTTGTTTTGCTTTGTTTTCGTGGTATTGGGGATTGAACCTAGGGCTTTTGCATGAAGCTGTATTACAAACCCTTTATTCATTTCTTATTTTGAGACAGTCTTACTAAGTTGCTAAATTTCCCAGACTGCTCAACTGCCTAGAGCTCCCTCTGCTGCTGGCTGGTGCAAGCCCTCCTCTGGGTCGATACTGAGCAGACATCACACTCTGCAGGGCTATCCTGCCCTCTCCCAGAACCCACAGAGACTGGGATCTGGATTTTCAAAAATGGTAGATAAAGGAGAGACCAGGACTTAATCATCCTTCTTCTCAGCCCTCTGTATAGTGTTAATAAGCACTAGGAGGCAAATTATTGCCCTCCTTTTTGAGGTCTTTCCTCCAAAATACTGAAAGTCTTACAGGTTTAAAGGCTGTGGGCATGAAGTAAAAATCTACAATCTGATCATCATATACTTGGACCTGCTGTCCAAAATGACTTGCTAAAAAATATCAAGATGATACACAATCAGAACAAGCTTTTCAGAAAATCCCTTCCTCTCCTTTTCCTTTCTTGCAAGCAATGGCAAGGAAAAGTATCATTGTAGAGCAAGATAGTTTGGGCAGGATTCCCGGCTTTACCATGAGCTAGTTGTATAGTGTTAGCTAAGTTATTTGAGTTGTCTACAATGAAGGTACAATACCTCACAGCAGGTGAATTAAAATAGTGTGACACCACCCCTGGGTAGGTGGCCTTGGAAGGCTGCCAGCACTGGAGACCCTGAAGGAAATCCTATGGAGGATGGTGGGCTGCACAGTGCTCCGTAAGGTTCTTTAGGGGTACTTCTTCCTGAACTCATTTTTTTCCCTCCTTCCCTTCTCAGCACTGGAGATTGAAGCCAGACCCTTAACGTGATGCAAGTACTATACCACTGAGAAGTAACCCCAGTTCCTATTTTCCTCTTGTTGTGTGCTACCTTTTGGATCTTAACTTCCCCCAGGGCCCATGTGTTAACATCTTAGTCCCCAGCTTGGAGCTATTAGAAGGCAATAGAAACTTTAAAAGGAAGAGCCTCAAGGAAGTCTTGGGTGCCAGCAAATTGAACTGTGGGATATCAGTTTATTTTTCTCCCACCTCCTGCCCACCATAAAGTGAGTAGGTTGTTAAACCACATATTCCCTGCCATGCTGTGCCACCTCATCACAGGCTTAAACAACAGGGCCAACTGAACATAAACTGAAACCTCTGAAACTATGAGCCTACAGAAGCCTTTCCTGTTTGAAAGTTGATTATCTCAGGCACTTTGTTACAGTTCCTAACTCATTGGATTGTTACTATTGCATTTATTTCAAAATGGATGTTGATGGAAATTTAATAACAGCTACAACTAACTGCACTAGACATTGTATGAATCCCTTACCTGCATTATCTCTATTATTTTTCATATCCATTCAATGAACTAGGAAGGTCATTCTCATTCAATGATTAGAAAATTAGGACTCAGCAAAGTAAGGTATAAATTCAGGATCACAGCTAGTTACCAGGAAAGTCTGACTCAACTTTGGTGAGTGACATAAATTTGAAACGGTCCTAAGCCTATGGTTAGACTGGAAGAAACTTTTTTTTTTTTTGGCAGGCTCAGCCCACCTTACGGGCGGGGCTGGTGCAGCATTTTGTACGGAGGATAGAACCACGGTCCCCAGGGCCTGAGTTTGCCCAAGCAGGCATTTGAGACAGCTGAGCTATCCCGCTGGCCCCTTTGGAGAAACTTTAATTGGAAAAACATCTGAAAATAGAAAATACTTTATTTAACTACCAAGTAATAAACTCAGGGAATAACACTCTGAATCTTAATGTCTCATTGGGAGATTAGCTTTAATAAAGATGCTCCTCAAAAACTTTCTGCCAACTGAAAACCTGCACACTTCATGTCACATGAGTGCATTCAGAAGACTGTGCCCTACAGCACAAGACAGCTCCAGTGTTGGCTGCAGGAGAAAGCCCTGGCCAGAAGGAGAGAAAACTAATACTTGGGCATACTTCATAGGTGAGAAGAACCAGCAGGAAATGTACAAGGGGGCACATGCTGACACGGCCTTCACAGGGGCAGCTTTTCTTACCATGGATGCCGAGCTGCCTGCTCACAGGTGTATCTTTTATTTGGGTCTTTCTCCATCAGATTCCGGATAAAGTCTTTTGCTGTTCAAAAAGGTACAAGGGAAGAGTCAGTTTGTAGCTTGAGATGCAGTGTGTCCTCAGGAGCATCATGTACCACTAAGATGATGAAAATGACTCTCCACAGACCCTACTATACCATTGAGGAAGGGACTAGAAAGAGTACTGCTGCGAGATGCCACCAGGGGAACGAAGAGTGCATGGCAGGACATGGTGGGCCAGAAGCAGGACATCAGGAAAATGAGGGACAGGGTCACAGAACAGCCAGGAGATACCTGGTGCTAGCTCAAAACGCGTCATATGTCGGGGTCTGGCAGCCCACTCCCCACAGAAATGGGCTGCTGTGGACAAGCTGCACCTTTCTGAGCTCAGAGGCACATCTCCCCAGAGCTCCTCTCTATGAGTCGTATAGAATATATTCAAGCCTGGGCTTTGGAGGACTTCGGGAGATGGCAGGGTATTTCTGGGGAGGAGGAAATGATGTAAATAATACAATGCTGCCTCTTGTTAGTGCATTGGAGACTGGGAGGTATGGTTCATTCATCACTTCTCCTTACCCTGTTACTACTCTCCCTGAGCAGTTGGGTGGAATGGAGGCCCAGGTAAAGGCACAAAGACCCAGAGGCCTTCCCATATCCAGGGCCTTGGTGTTGCTCTTTTTCCACTCAGGAAGGATGATAACTGTCCTGGTAAAATCTCAGCATGGCATCCTGGCTGTGAGGACTGAGTCTGGACTGAGAGCTGGAGTCCTACTCCCAGCTCTGCACATCCTAGCTGCGCGGTTCTAGTCCAGTGACTGAGACTCAGTTTCCTCATGTGTCAAAAGGGAGCAACACTAACGCCACTGTGTAGGCCGTCCTGAGCACTGGGCAGAGTGGCGCATGCACAGGCTTCCAGGACCGCACACAGCAGGTGCTCGGTAACTGTTAGCTAATGATGTTTTACTCCCAGACTGGAGTGTGGCTGGCGATGTGGAAGGGCAAGTTCCTATCGCTCCCTGGCCAGGCTCAGGTCAAATATCCAAGCCAGTCCTCCATGCCGAGCTCAGGAAGCTTCTGCAAAAGCCATCATCAACTGGTGTTTGCACATCCACAACTCTTAGGTTGAAATCCTAAATCCCAAAACAGCAGCCTTAGGAGGTGATTAGGTTGTGAGGCAGAGCTCTTTTGAAGGAGATCACTGTCCTCATAAAAGAGACCCTGGAGAGTCTGTTCTGCCTCTCGCCATGTGAGGACTCAGCAGGAAGGCAGCCATCTGAGAATGAGAAGGTGGGCCCTCCCTGACAGCAGCAGTGCTGGTGGCCCTGAGCTTGTACTTCCAGCTTCCTGAACTGTGAGAAATTCATGTTTGCTGCCTAAGCACTAAGATAGTGGTATATACATTTTTCATAGTAGACTGAGATTCACTGTGAGTCCCAGAGCCCCCAGGGATGACCTACCTGAGTCGGAGATATCATCCCAGTAGGGGGAGTCAAACTCATATTCTGCCTTGAGGATCTGTTCGAAGAGTTTGGAATCATTTTCATCATAAAAAGGAGGGTAGCCACAGAGCCTGGAAGACAAGACAGGGTAAGATCTGAGAGTCTACATACCCAGGCAGTAGGTCTGCTTGCTGCCTGGGAGGACTGTCAATGAAATGATGGAGAACTACACAGTGTGTGCTACAAATACAAGCTCAGCAAAGGGACCATACATTCTGTGGCACAGGTGACACAGAAGCAGGAATGCATAGCACAGAGGGAAAACTAAGGTAATGATCAGAGGGCAGCATGTACACTTGTCTGCCTTAACTCTTTACATGGCATTAACCTCAGCCCCCTGCCCCCTAGAAGCCCATCGAGAGCCTCCTACAGACGGATTTTACCCATTTTGCCTGCAATGCTGTGCATATAATGGATGGGTTGGTAGAGAGCATAAACAAGATATATACTTAGCATATGCTTCAGGAGCCTTCCAGTTTCATTTTATTTAAGAAATTATCAGGATGGGGAGATACCTTGGTGGTCTAAGTGCCTGCCTGGCAAGCGCAAGGACCCGAGTTCGATCCCCAGTACTGCATGCCCCATGCTGGCCACTGAAATCAGGTGTGGTGGCGCACACCTGTAGTCCTAGTGCTGAGGAGGCTGAGACAGGAGGATCACTATGAGTCTGAGCTGCATAACAAGAGCCTATACCAAATAAATAAATATAGCATTTTAAAAAATCATCATAAGAAGAAAAGAAATTTTACATTAAGGAGTACCAAATTGTCAAGAGTTGCCCTGAGTTCAATGTTATCATTTCATACACCCAAAGGGGGTGTCTAGAAGGCTTCAGTTTTGCTTGTTACTGTGCAACACAAGTGAACAGGAGGTGGCTCAAGATGCGACACTAAGTGCCAGCCATCTGCCCACTGAGCCATTCTAAAGTTGGCCTTACAACAAAGGTTCTGTGAGGGTTCTAGAACATGTAACTCATTGATCTGGAGGGGCTGAAGGTCATCCAACAAATAAAATAGAAATAGAAAATTTTGATTAAGTATGCCAGCCACAATTGTCCCATGCAACTAACTGTGCATTCTAGGTGGGCACAGTGACATATACTATGATGGAGTACTCTGGGAGTGAGGCAGGATTATCACAAGTTCAAGCCTAACTGAGGCAACTTAGTGGTTTAGTGAGACCCTGCCTCAAAATGAACAATACAAACAGGCTAAGGATGTAGCTCAGTGCAAAATCCTGTGCTAAATTTCCCAGTAGCAGAAAAATAACTTGGATTCTGGGCCTAGGGAGGTAGCTCAGTAGTAAAATGTGGGCTTATCATGTGTAGTCCTTATTCACATAAACACACACACACACACACACACACACACACACACACGTAGATAGATGGATATAATTTTAAAACACCATAGCATTTCATTCTAGCTCTCTTCTCAATTCTGAAGCTACCTTTATTGTCAGCTGGCCATCGAAACATTTTTGGGTCGAGCTTCCGTGTCTGAAATGCAGATGGCTAACTACAAATTCCCTCTATTCTTTTTGGCTTCAAGTCACAGTAGCTCCTGTGACTGTCTGTATGCCTGTCTGACTGGCTGAGAGACTGAAGAAAATACCTATAACACACTAGGAGTCTGGGGAGTGGGGGAGCAGGCTCCTGCTGGGTCTGCACTGGTGGAAGAGGTAGGTTTGAGTCCCAGCTGTAAGGGGTCACAGAGCAGGGGACACGGGTGTACCATACTGGAAGGCCAGATGCAAAGCTGGTGGCACAGGCTTGGCTTATGGGACCAGAGGATGGCAGTGGCAGTGGGAGCTGGGTTACCCCCACATCACCTCACTCAGCACAGGGCTGTTCTAAGCACAGCTGCAGCCCAGAGACCAGCTCCACGAGAGTAAGTGAATGGGCAGCAGCAGGCTTGGGGCTTGAGGGGACCAGGCTGCCCACATGTGAGAAGTGAGACACAGGCAGGTTAAAGCACAGCCTGGGTCTCACATTCTCCAATGGCTCCTGTAGCAAGCAGCAAGAGCACCGGCTAGCTTCAGAGGGCACAAGTGACATCTCTCAGGGCTCTGAGACGTTCTATGGCCCAGTCTAATCAAAATCATCTGTCCTCACCAGGCAGTGGCAGGGGCTGAGTGCCTGGAAAATTTCACTTTTAAAGGTCTGCTGCTTTTGGAGAAATGAACAACACCAAAGGCTTCTGAAACCACAGCACACACTTCACTGCCCAAGCAAACCCTGGGGCGTGGGTGATGGATATGTAAATTTTCCCATAATGAGGATTTGGGATAAATGAAATGTGCATATTAGGAAAAGCAGAGAGAGCAAAATGTTCATTTGTCTTGGAAAAAACTTGAATTTTAGATACATGAGGTTTTTGTTTATTAACAACTGAGTGTATTTTATTTTATGGTTTGGCTTTCTAAGTGAAGCAAATCTTAAAAAATTTCTAAGAAAATTTTCTTCTGCCAATTTTTTAATGTATATTCCAATTTCTTTTCATCTTAGCTGTTTTGGGGGCATATAGATTATCATGTTCACATGGATATAGAAAGAACCAAAGCAGAGCGAATGGATATATCCTACCTTGGTGCCTCAGTGAGTTAAAATTAAGAAAGAGGATTGCAAAGCAAGGATGGTGACACTGTGGCACCTCAGTTCATGAACTTAATTCTTTTCAGGATTCTGGTCACAAACCAAGTTAGACGGGAACCGAATCAAATTCGGTGGCTAGACTCAATGTTGACATTATGAATAAATTTGATTTGGTTCCTGTCCAACTCAGTTTGGACCAGAATTGTGGAAAGAATTAAATTTGCAAACCAAGGTACCAGTGTAAAGCAGAAGAGCAAATATAGATTGTACAGCATGCAACTGACAATTTGGGGCTATTTGTGTTCGCACAAGAGGGCAGGACTGCCATTCTCATGAGGCTGCCTACCAGCACCTCCAATCTCTGCGTTCTTTACTAATGTCCCCGAAGTGTGATGTATTTGATATATGAAACCCTTCACATAATCTACAAATCATTTAGCATCATGGGCTCTCACAGAAGACAAAGCCCTTCTCAATTTTCTCAGCCTGAAAATTTATGGTTCAGAGTCACATTGAATTTTCACAACCAACGCCATCCACCATCACACACCCATCTGCCCTGAGCTGTGTCCCAGGATGTGTATCACGGCTGTCCCACTTCCTGTCACTCTTTAGTTCGCTACCAACACACCTGTGGCGCACATATGCAAACATGCAGCTAGCCTTAGTAGTCTGCTCTTCTAGTTTAGCCTCACCTGGAGCCTCATGTTGGGTCAGGAGCCCCACTGAGAGCTGTGCACACATCACTCTCACACCCCTACAAGTGTTCCAGACATCTTCTGTCAAGTCCTTTAGAGGCACTCTGCCCTGTGCCCCATATGCCAGTCTGTGTGGACAGGTGAGTGAGGCTGGTACTCTTGGACATTAGAGGGCACTGGCCCAGGGAACTGCAGCAGAGGCAGTGATAGAGGGGACATCAGGGTGTCCACACCATCCCCCAACGTACCCCCAGCTCTCAGGGTGGCTATGCTCCTTGAAGAAGTGCCACTCCTCTTCTGGGCAACTGATCCCTCCCTGCCCTCATCTCCTTGGGTGTAGGTGTATTTACTGCCCAGGGTCCCCATGCTGCTCCTGCGATGTCCACCACCCACTTTGCTATACAGGCCTTGTGCCATCCTTACTTCAAAAGCAAAGAAACTAGCAATGCTGCATAGTCTGACCCGGAGCCTACTCCACAGAATTCTGGTCTGTGTAATCCTCTCACCTCAGCTTCCAAGTGCTGATTATTACAGGTATGGTCCACCACACCTGGTGTGGTCTGCACTCTAAACTATGGTGCTTATTCACGTAGGGGAAGAAGACTTGAGACTTGAAGCTTCTCTTTTGGTCTTGAATTTGAGCTGTCCATATAGGTCATCTAGTTTGCCCTCAACTTGACCACTCCACCTTCAAGGTCCAGTGGGGGCCCAACCTTTCCAACCCTAACTCACATCAGAGCTTCTTTCTGGACTGAAGTAAGGCTAAGCGCTATTCCTAGCTGTTCTGGCACCCTTCACCTGGCCCTGGTACAGCTTCCCTGTCAGTGTAGCAAGCACTTCCCACTCTGTCCTCAGCTCTGACCTGTCCATGACCACTTCTGACTTGTACTTTTGGATATTAATGCCAGACAGAACCTACCCCTAGCATATGCTGGATTAATGCTTGGAGGAATTTAAAAAAAAAAAAAAAAAAGGCTGGCTCACTATCTACTGAGGCCTCTGGCTGGGCTGGGAACCAGAGATAAAGCCCTTCCTGAGGTAGAGGAAACTAGGCCACCATCCTCTACAAGGGCCTCAGTGTTCCCAGCAGCATCTCAGTGTGCCCACCAACACCTACAAGGCCTCAGTGTTCCCAGCAGACCTCACTTCCTGGTTCCTGTGTTCACTCCACTGGAGGTGGTGGAAACACTCATACTCCACATCATTTCCAAAGATCCTGGTGTGCAGGCCTGGCTAAAGGGCAGACAGCTCTGCCTCTAAGAGAGGATGCTGTGTCATTTGGGTCACCCAAAATGGCTCTCTTGGACACAGGCCCTCTCCATAGTGGAGAAGGTTTTCCATAGAATGGCAATGAATGTGAAACTCAGCAATGGCCAACGCTGGCTGATTTGGCAGTGAAGTTTTTCTTGGAGACTGAAATGCTACAATGCCATAAAAGCTCCTGTTGAGAGGCTCTGAGCACCTACTCGAGTCATTATCCTGTGCTATGTCATTCTGCCTCTTTGCCTTGGCCATGTCGCTGAACCTGTGCGACAAATGTGGATGTGTGCTGAAAGGATGTCCCGACAGTCACCAAATGCTGCCCCTCTCTGTCCTTTATCGGCTGATATCAGGCACCTCCCCGCCTGTGCTTGTATCCTGGCCCTCCCTCCATTATGCCCTATGGCTGCATTCCTCGCAGATCTTAACACCAGAGAAGATACAGAAACACAGGGAGACAGATGCTGGTTTCAGAAGTGGTGGCGAGAAGAGTGCTAGCCTGTGTGACGTCAGGCAGTGG